TTTTTGTTACCATTACCTTTACCTAACATTCATTTTCACTGATCTCCACATATGAAAGCCTTTTTAATTCTTTTTACCATTATCTATGTCTATTGCTACCCATATCAGTGCATTTTAATGGCTGCCTCCTAGCTCTCAAGATGCTTAATACATCTCCCCTTCCATTGTATTACAGCTAAAATATGACCTGTTGCTGTTTAAATAATGTAAGTTAATGATTTTGCATTTTTAGCCATGCAAAGCTTCCTTTCAGCACTGAAGACTTTCACTAATGATTTGGGGAGATAGTTTTTGTCTCATTTCCTTGAGAACTCCAGACTGAGAAACTCTGACTTGGAAATAAATTACTGGCATCCACTTTAGGAACAGTACAATGCTCAGTGGAAATAAAACACACACAGTTTCAGTGCCATGAAGCCAGAATCTCGAACTTGTTGATTTCTTTCAAGGTTCAAGTGTCATTCTAACTTTGTATCAGTGGGTATCTAAAACACTGTTGTGTCACTGCTGTGTGATGCAATGTATCTGGGGCAATCCTCTGCAGAGAGACTCTCCAGTTGTTCCCCATGGTGCACGAGTAGCCAGCAGTGAGCTCACAGGCAACACTGGGCTAGTTTCTTCTCATTTCAAACATGCACACCATATTAAAAGTATAGCTAAAATACCTTAAATTTTAGCTAAAATGGCTTTGGCTGCCATGAAAAAGTGCACGAAATGAGAGGACAGGTTTTAGCAACTCCTCAGCACTGGAACGCATTCCCATTTATCAGTGATTTCAACATGGGTTAAAAATTATACAAAGAAAACAAGACAAACTCAACCCCCCAAAAATTATCTTTCCGTTCAGATATGCAGAAATATTACAGTGAGACACAAAAAGCAGGTGGGCTTAAGAAGAGAATGTCTTTCCATGAATATCAGCTCCCAGGCACTACCGAATACTCTGAGATTAAGCAACTACCAGTCCCTTGGAGAAACTCTTGAGAAGGATAATTGAGAAAGGAACACACTCCCCCCAAAACCTAGACAAACCTGACCTGGCAAAGGGGATGCAGAAGCTGAACCTGCTCAGCCCAGAGAAAAGTTTCCCAAAGGTGGAAAGCTGAATATTGATGAGCACCAGTTTGGATGCTAAGAGGAAAGCTGTCAAGTGTTTTCTGCATTAAGTCAATGAAGACTTAAAAAGCAGACTAAAAGCAAAAGAGAGGCAACACATTGAAGGCTGCCTGTCTCACTTTTTAACTTCTTACAACCTCTTACAACCTATTGGTACCGTGACTTCTCCAGAAGTTCTGCTGGTTAGGAAAGCATGGCTGTGTTCCAGCTGGAATTCTAAGAAATGGTGAGAGGAATAGAGGTGTGTACATTTTTTCAGACAAAAGCTTTCTTGGATTTGGATTGTTTTTAAGCTTTTATCTTCAGTATTTTTAGTGGATTACAGTAAAAAGTTATAGTTGTTGATTTTACTGTTTTCTTGAAAGAACTGTTGGTGGAAAGCTGAAGTTCCACAAGTGAATCCGTGTCGTGTTCAGGGATTTCTGTTTAAAGTAGATGTCTCTGTTCTGCCACCAAACCTCTGGCACCTCAGTAAACTGTATTATCTGCATATGAAATTTACTTAATAGCAGTCAGGGTAAACATATTTTCCTAAGTTTCACAGCAATAATTTACACATTCACATTCTTTCCATGTGTTCACACACGCTGATTTGCTCAGGGAACAGACATGGCATAGCAATACGTATGGCAAACATAAGTGTAATGCACAGAAAATAATCAAGTATATATCAAGAAAAGCAGTTTTGCTCAGTCTAAACCTCTTTTCACTTACAGCAACAGAATTCCTGTTGGCTTAGTGGTGGAGCAGGACCATATAGCAACTGAACAATTTTACACAAACAGACTTGGAAAGAAACCAAAATCTTCCTTACAAGAAACTGACAACTACAGAATAGGTAATTTCACTGAATAAGTTACATCGTGTGAGTAATTTCCATATCATTAATCACTCCATTTTACCAGCACCTTGAATTTTTAAAGAAACTCTTGTTTTCTCATTTTAAATACTTAACGTATCTCCTCTATGATTCCTATCGCTGAATGCTCTTTTCTCTTTCCACAAGCAAGGGTTTTCATTGCTTTATCCAGTCACCCTGAGGTCTCATACTTATCATCCTGAACCAGACGCAGAAGTCCCCAAAAGGAAAATCAGTTAAACATAGATGTGGATCTCACAAAATATGGTGGGATTACTCCCTTGATCAATGTTTAGTTTGAATTCAAGTAAATCAGAACTTTTCTGAATTCATATATCATTCTTTTGAGTTATCCAGCTGGGGGAATTTGTGGTGAAGAGATTTAGAAGTTGATTGGTGAGAGAAGAAAAAGAAAACAGAAGACCCAGCTCAGAGGAGCTGTGGACATCTATGCTTGACTGCACTGGAAATTCAGGGACAGGAGACGTTGGCAACAGAAGTAAGAAGATAGGTTAGAAAACTGCATAAAAGCATGTCCCCGGGTCGTCCAGGTTGACTATGACACAGTGAGGTGTTAGAGAGATGGAAGTTGATGAATATGGTCTGATGTCACCCAAAGGGCAGGATTTACCAAAACTGTGTTGAAGCATGGGCTTCTAGGAGTATACCTATAAAAAGGGCTGGCTACAAAACCAAACACACATTCTGCGATTATCTTTCAACTACCCACAACAAACAGGGACCAGAAGTCAACCAGGCTTAACTGAACTGATAACACCACTCACCTAGAGATGTTCTCTAGAAACACAGCACTCTCAGCTGACTCCTGTCTTCATTCACACATGCATTGGGTAGTGGGCTATGCAGGAAGCAACAGGAGCTTACAGCTGTGATTTGGGGCTCTTAAGAGCTATCTTGACCAAGTTACTTCATTTCCTTGTGTATCAGTTTAACTTCCAAACAATGAGGGCAGTGGCATTTGCTTAGAGGGTCCAGAGGGAAGGGTAGATAAGATGATAAAGAGCAACGCAACTAAGCGTGTTGGGTTCTGTTCCTTTCAGCTACTTTATGGAGGGCGTGATTGCATCTATATACACGGAACTGCACCCTATGCTCCAGCAAGTCCCTTTTTCATCCCACGCTTTCATCTACCAGTAAGGATTATAGAGGAAACCTTTTCATCTGGTAAGGTCATTGCTTGCAAAATTTATTTGGCAGCAGAGTTACACCTTTTAGCTAGCAATTAGACACCCATGGCTAAACTAAAGAGCAAAGGTTGCCTGGCTTAATCCCTACCTTCCAGCTTTGCAACACGGGGTGAATAAATGACGTAAGAACTGCACGAGCTTATGTTTATTTATAATACTACATACCCAGCAACTATAACCTGGAGCACTCCAGAGTGGAAGGATACATTTTTTTTAATGCCTGTTTCTTCATTAAGATTTCATCATCCACCTACGCTAAAAAGCCACTTCCCCTTCACTTTGTTATATCTGCTTTTACCCGCTCCTGCTCCTGCATTATTTTTTTAATCTCCAGTTCCCTACTTTACATGCACTCTCAAATTTTAAACAAGGAAAATTTGTGCATTAGTGTGTCCTTTTCATCTATGATTTATGAATGACAGGTTCTTCGGTGCAGCTTAATGGTATGAGAGAGACATTATTTTAAACATTAAAGTGAAAACCATTTACAACTATGATAAGAGAGGTCTGTTGACATTAAACTTTAAAACACGCACAAGGTAAAGGCAAGTAGTTGCACCAACAGGTGAGAGTACTATTCATGTGGTTTGTAAGGGAGTTTGTTCAACACATGAGCTGTCTCTTCCACTTCCCTGTTTCACAACCTGTAGGATTTGGTGCTTCAAACATTTCATCTGGCAATGAGTATCTCCCAGAGCTTAAGAACTAAAAAGTACATAGGGCACAGTGCAGAGCATTCATTCCATTCGAGGAAGACATTTACATCAGCAAGAAATAATAATGAATAAATAAATTGAAAAGGCTAAAGCTTTATTTTGGTACTTCCCGCTCACACCTTTACCACTTTGACACTGGTCAATCACTTCCTTACCATCCTCTTCCATTAAAGCTGTACTGTTCTATTGTAAGATACTGGCTAATACTTACCTTGCTACACTTTGTTCAGGTCAGTAGCAATTGCTTTCTGAGAAGCAATCAACATAATTTAGAGTAGCAAATAAATACATCCAATCAACATAGTCCAGAGTAGTAGATAAATGCATCTATATTTTCTCTCATATGTGTTTGGATTGAATACTGTTTCTAACAATGCTAGACACATGGAACAGCAGAGAATACTAGGGAAGAACAGGGATCTTACAGAACTGCTTTTCAGTCTGATTTTAGACCACAGGGAGAATGCAGCAGATATCTTAGGGTAGAACTTTGCAAACATGGTACAGCTCAGACCATGGGAAGGGTACGTACAGAGATGAAAGTTTTGCTTGTGACTTTGGAGTCATGTAACTCCCTCAAAAGCTTGGATGGGGATGGCAGAATCTTATTGATAAAGCAGACCTCCCATGGCAAGAAAGAGAATATGTATCCAGAGCACTGATGGCAGCTGAGAAAACACTGATTTAAAGATAAAAGGGTGGGGGGCTTAAGTGATTTTCATGCAATACTGTGGTTTTAGTTGCCCGTATTCATTTAGCTACCCTAATCAGCAGTGGTGAAACAGAATACTTGTCTTCATGCTGTCATTTGAAATTTTGAAGTAAACTGTGAGTAGGGAACACTGATCACTGATGACAGAAAAGCCTAATGAATCATTCAAGCACTTTACTGATCCATGGAATCTAAGACCCAACCTCCAATCTTTGTTTATAAAAATGCAAACATCTCTCAAGTGCTCAAAAACAATCCAAGTATTAACTTTCAATACTCATCAAGAACAACATTTCATTGCAAAAAGAGATCACTTGGTTTAAAAGACAGAGATGCTGTGAAACAAACAGGCAAAGGAACCTATTAGAGAAATGACAAACATGCCTTACCTTGTAGATTTTGCAATGGCAAAGTCATGATGCCTCCTGCTGCAGCTGCTGCTACCAGCCCTTGGATGTTGGTGAGATTCGCAGTAGGTAGAGTTAGGACGAGTCCTTGTTGGCCCCCCAGCTGCCCAGCCATGTTGAAAGGAATAAGGATCGGCTGATTCAGGGCTGGAGTGCCTCCTGGCATCACCCCCGCTACTGCTGAGGCTAACTGCTGGGCTGTCAGGAGTGGCTGTAACAAAACACACATAGGAAGCCTATTTTACTGTGCGTGGCTTGGTATTACACCCCTGTAACTCCTGTGGTTTGAGATCATTTGGTGTTCCACTACAGACATACACTGCTTCCAGTATCTTAAAGCACACACTTTCACCAACACAAAGTTTTGACAAAGTTGACAGGCTGCAGCTGTAAGCTTACAGTCACGTATGCAGCATGGTAGCAATCCTGGTTGAATCTGGACTGGTAAATTCATTACACATGCACTGAAGAAAATTTATGAACACAAGAAGGCCTTACAAGTACCTGAATGCAAACATTTCCCAAATTGTTACTGTACTGAGTGTAACAATTACCAGAAGCTATGTGGACCAAGACTGCCCTGGGAAGTGGAAGAACATTGAGTATCCCCTTAGAGTATGGCTGAACTTAGATAAAATAGTGAAGTGACAAGGAAAACGTTTTAAAATGTTATACAGTGCCATACTATTATGCCTATGTTTTGCTGTAAAGAAAATAAATAGCTGGCATAAAAGATAATGAAATGCCTTTTTTACTGCAGGAGCTGTGTGTGACAGGCAGAACTGTCAGAGCCAATGGGTTGCATTAAAATTGCACAAGCTTTTTAATATTAAATTATGACATGTATTTAAAAAATAACTTATATAGGAAATTGAAATAATTTAACCTCCTAAATATGAAAAACTGCTTAGGTTTTGTTTCAGAAAAAGATACAAAAAGCTGATCTCTCCAAACAAGTAACTTTAAAAATATAGACAATGCATACATGCTCCCTTTTTGTAACACTAAATGAAGCCAAACAGAAACACCTTTCCTCCACTACACAGATCAAAGATGATCAATTGCAGTTATTTACTTTTCATCACATTGCAAGTCTCGATTAGTTGAAAGGAAAGATACTGACCTGAGGCCCAACAGGGAATGCAGGATGGGACTGACTGGGTTGGTGCTGGTCTGCTGGGCTCGTGTCAGGCAGCACTGTGTTTCCTCTGGCCTCTGAAATCCAAAGAGCAGATTGACTTTAATATCAAGCCTGGGGACTGCCACATTACCTTCTACTCTGATGTCACATAACATCAAGCTGAAAATGATATGTTAAAGTGCTTTATCAATAACTCAAGCACTCAAATCACTTATCAGCTGCATAAATTATGCTAACATTCATTCAGACCAGCCAACTCATTCAAGGAGCTACAAAAATCTGACAGCAGTGAAACTGAAGCTATCATCAACCCAGATAATGTGGGTTGCATTATACATCAATTTACATAGAGTACATGAGCACTCTGCGCGTGTGGGAACTGCATTTTTTACGCTTAGGTGAGCATCAGCCATTCTAATTCCTGAAAGCAAAAATTATCTGAAAAACAATCAAGTCATATCTACTTTGTATCTTAATAAAGTCTTTTCTTTTGTCAGTTACTGAGGCAGCAAAGGCTGTACGAAGCACATTAAAAAGGCGCTATGAAAACTGAAAGCAGGTATTCTTCCAAATGACAGCTTGTTTGCTAAATTGCATGTGGGGGGTGAGCAAAATTCTGTGAAACCAAGGATTTCCAGCATTTACTGAGGTGATCAATACCCAGCAATCGAACTATATGCTGGGCACTAATGACTTGCTAAGCACAGAACGCAGCCCAGCCCCACCAGATTTTGCTGAAGTCCGCAATACAGATTTGGAAGGGAAAAAGAGAAGGAAAAAGAGAAAGGAAAAGGTCCTATTGGTTGTAAGAAAGCACCAAGATGTTTTCAAAACTATGTCCCAACCCTCCATTTCCTCCGGGTGAAGGACTCGCATCGATTCACAAGTTTTTCAGGCACGATCAGGCCCACATTTATCTTTGAAGCTGAAAGAATGACAGCAAGCATCAAAAGAAGCTGCAAGAGCACTGTGGTCTCTTGAAAAGAAAACCCTGGCAATGGCATCAGGTTTCCTGGTTGGTGCGATACCTCCTGTTCTGTTAGTGGTTTCTGATGAGCGGTTGAAATTCTGTTTTAAGTAAACCTTAATGAGATGCTCTTTTCCAATGTTTATCCTATGAAAAGCAAGTGCAAGGTAATTCAGAACCAGTTTATTGGCAGACTCCGGCGTGGTAAGGAAAAAGGATACGATTCTGTCATACTTATAAATTTTAAAGAGGGTATTATCAGCTCATTTAAAACAAATTCTTCTAGATATTCTCCAAGGGGACAGACTTATAAATAATGGAAATGTGGAAAAAAAACCCACCAAAAAACCTTCAGCACATTAAGGTACAAATAAAATTGACTGCTACATATTATTCAATTGACTTCTACTCTACGGCAAGGTGTCAATCATAACAGCATTTTAGAATAGGATTAAACAATAAATGTGCAGAGCTGTTATGCAGAAACCTGAAAATCTGATTAATTTGTAATATTTTTGTGTGCTCTCAAAAAGCCAGAAATGGACATTGCTTTGGGAATACTTACAAACAGCCCATTGAAAGATTTGATTTGGAACTAATAAAAACATACAGACTTGCTGACGTTTTATAAAGTGAATTCTATAAAAGTATGTTTGGCATTTTAATGACCACTGCCATTTAATAATGATAAGCTGACCCACCATACCCAGTGAGGACTCCAACAATTGCCTAATAATGTGCAAAAAGAGACGAGTCATTTATTTTTTACTGTGCAATTCACTCATCCGAGTTACTTGACAAGAAAGAAATGTAGCTAGATGCACGAGATTCCATGAAAACTGTTTCTTTCAAACACATGACAACCCTCGTGCAGCTGCCATCCCTAAGACCAAAGAGAGGTTTTCTTCAGTATGGGTTCCTTCTACACAAAATACAGCGCCATATCACTACACACAATTTTACCTTTGGTAATTTCCACACATTGTTATGGGTTTTTTTAATCTCCTCTATATGTATAAAGTGATATTAGATCAGTTAGGCTCAATACCAATAAATACATCATTCCCCCTTAAGTTCAAACCTTGTAAGTCAATTTTCTTTATGCAATTTTAAGGGCTGAGAATTTGTGTGTGATTTAATTAATATTAAAACAAGCTCTTGATAATCTGCCACATCATTAAATTATCCTATGAAAGCTTTGAGAGAATGACAAAACTGGAGTCAAATATTCACTGGAATTAGATTTAATTGCAATTACCATAGCTCAAGCTTTCAGAAAATAAATAAGTTCCGAAGAAACATGCCTTTAGTATTTATTTTTGCATGGTGCAGCTATCCTAAGAACCACTGTTTTCTGTTATCTGTACCCTAAGGATTTTGCAGTGTTTCATCTCACAATCTGTATGTAGTACAAGAATCATAAAGTCAAAGCTAATTTCACTCCTTTCCTTTTGCACTGCACTAATTGGAATCATTTAGGATTACGTTCCTTGCATACTGTCACTCAGTGCAGATCTGCCTGCTGCTCCTAGCTCACTTTCCACATGATGCAGGCAAAACAGCACACACTTTCACGTCCATGAATGTGGTCTTACATGGCACCCTGTATGAAATTATGCATGCTGTATTCTCAGACTGGGATTCTCACCTTTCCTCTCATGCCCCTGCTAATCCACCTGCTGTATCAGCTACTCGAGAGCCAAGATTTTCTTCAAAGCATGCAGGAAAACCTGCCTGCTGGGCTGGTGGTAAGTACAGCGAAGGCAGGATTTCAGGGTTAAGTTCTGTTGCCTCACACACAGTGACAGCATTTGTTCCTTGCTGTACACTATCTTCAGTAGGACACATAGGTCAAAGTTCCCAGGAAGGCAAAGCAGAGCACAAAACACTGACAGAAGGCTACTTTTCCTTATAACGTTGACCATGTGGATTCCTGATTTCCGAGGACCTGAGGAGCCAGGAGAGCTGCATCACAGCTACTATTTCTGATTCACAGACTCATTGCTATGATTGGGAAAAATACCTTCAGTAAGACCATTCCCCTCACCTGGCAGTGCACAATCCCCTGCGTTGTTTCTCCTCTCTGTTTTACCGCCTTTGTTTGGGAGTTCATTAGTTCCAGATGCTGGAATGACCTCTGCAGGTAAATTATTCCCCTGTCCACATTCCAGTCCTCACTAATAAAAATGGCCTGTCAAAATCTAGCCTAGATTTTCCACTTGTCCAGATGCAGGCTATTACCTCCTGTTAGGCTGTCCTCCGATGCTGCTCAGCTTTCTATCAGTGAGGGGTATGGCAGCCAGGAACCAGGACTCAAAGCAGTCCCTGTGGTGCTGGGGAGCTACCAGCAGCACCTTCTCTGTTCTCTCAACCTTTGCAGAGGTTCTACTCTCCTCACACCTCCAACTACTGGTGCACAAGGGGCAGGGAGCAGGCAGTAACAGGGCGCCTGCCCTGGAAAGAGAAGTAATTCTCCTTAACACCATTTGCCTAGGCATGGAGCTAAGACTTCTCATAACAGCACTGCTGTAACAGCCTAAATCTATGAGTTTGCTCAGTGGTACCATACGAACAGGCTGGAGTGCTACTACCAAGGTACAGCCATGACTGTAGACAAGGCTTTAATATTTAATAAGCAGTATTCATCATACGTGATTCATCATAAATTAATTATACATTATATAATACATACACTCACCTCTCATCCCACCAAGGGGCTGGAAGGGCATGACACAATAAAAAATAGAAGTGCACTGTAAACATTGTAAAATAACCCTCTTGAAATAAAATACTATTTAAAATAAAGCCAAGTAAAAACAAGAGCAACCTCCTTCTTCCCTTATCAAAAAGAAAAAAATCCCCAAAACCAAGCGGAAAACCTTGTTGAACAACACCTGGTTTAAAAATAAGAAACCACAAGAGAAACATCAGAAGGAAAAAAAAAATTCCACATCCCAAGGCCTCCAAGCCTCATACAAAATTACAGCTGTAAACTGGTTATAAACAGGCTTTCCACAGTTTGCTTCCTTTTTGTTTCTTACACGTCTTCAGCAACACAACAGGTAATTCAGTTCTAAAGTCTTCATTTCCCAGTGCCCCACAAAGGAGGGAATGCTCTAATCCCCACTTTATAAGTAATGGACAGAGGGACTCAGACCTGGATTCTCAAACCAGCACCATTTCGGCACCTAGATCTCTTCAGCTGTAGTTACATGTGGGTCAGAATATAGAACTATCACTCTTGGGGTGGCTGCTCCAGGGCTCCCAGCAGCTCTGGCAAGGTGAGCCCGCACACGCTCCCCAGCACCCTGTGCTCCAATGCACCTCCCATCCCTATAGTCCTTGTCTCTCCTGGTGTCTGATGCTCACAGGGAACCTGTAGCTGACTGGCAAGCGTGACCATACTGCAGAGCAACGCGGGATATACGATGGAGTGCACTAAACACGTGCATCCAGCTCTGTCCTGGACCTCCTGGGTCATCTGCAGATGTGCGTGTGTGCCTGCTCAAAGGCATGATGCACACTGCCCATCTCCTCTCAAACTGTACACCAAAGCTCACTCAAAGCCAGAGCTCAAACCACAGCACAGGACTAGCCTCAGCAGATAATCTAGACATAAATAACTTCCTCATTATCCTCAAGAATGAATTCAATGCATCTCGCGTTTGTATCACAACCAGGGAGATGCTGGGCTTCTACTCTTCAGTATTCAATGCTTCGAAAAATAAGCAAGATCAAATTTAATAATACTAGATTTTCAGTAATCAAAAGAATACATAAATCCTTCTGAGATACCCATTTAAGCAAATATTTCAAATGAATCAACATTAATAAAAGAACACAGCATTTCAAGCAACAGTTCATATTGAAATCCTTAGATACAGCTCCACAATGTGACATTAAATTACTTGTATTTATCTCTCAGTAACTGTAACAATAAGAAATCAAGAGCAGACTTTTCTGTTACTCACTGAATCAACTCACATTAAAGATAGAGCTTTACGAATGAAATCATTAAAGTGAAAATACTGCCTATGAGAAAAAAAAAAGAGGTCTTACATTTTTAAAACTAATAAACTCACATTCTGAGCAAGTAATAGAGCTGCA